CTGAACCCACTCAGCGAGGTGAGATGGGTCGCTGTACACTAAGAATTAACGCGTCAAACCCAGCCCAAGGAAACCCCACTCTGCACATCTGCAGGGCACCCCTGCTCTTTCTGCACAACATTTATCAATTCCCTTGACCAGGGAGTTTCATTCCTGCACCAGCCTGCCCAAAGGAGCAAGGCCAGCACAGCCTGTCTTCCAACTGGCCCCTCTCAGAGCAGGGCTGCACCAGCAAAGAGGCTAGAGACCAGTTTGAATTTTATTTTTCCTCCTTTTTCGACCACAAGATCGGTATGCAGATCTGATGGGAAAGGGATCTGGAGGGACAGGCCACCGAGTTCTGACAAGGGTGTTACGTTCTCACCTTAGGTCTATCTGGCAGGCAGGCCACGGGTTGAGCAAATCCCAAAACATGAAGCCACCCTGGAAGACACGACAACACCCCCCACCCCATCAGGCTGCAGACTCACAGATGCACATCACTGACATCCCCCACCCAGAAACCGTGAGCACCCCGCAAGAACAAACACCCCAATTGCTGAAAATACATATAGGAGGGGTGAGTGACAGCAACAGGCAGAAGAGGCCCAGCAGTCAAAGACCTTCCCGTTGCTCTGGCATGTTGTTGGAGACCTGTAGCTATTGCACGGAGCCACAGCTCTTGGATAAACATGCAGAGTCACGCTGAGCTTGCCTGGCAAAGGCTGTTTCAGCTTCCGAGAGACAGATGGAGCGCAAAAAGTGAGCTACCCGCTTTGGATCAGATTTGATTCCCGGTTCTGCCACGAGCCAGGCCCAGTGGTGCTGGAGAGAGGAAGTCTCCTTATCCCACCCGTACATGACGTCGACAGAGTGAGAAATAAGGGCAGTCTGCAGTTCTTAACCCCATCTGCCGGGCCTAACCCCAACAACAGCCCTGCGAGGACGTGCAGCAGCTGGAGGAAGCCCTGCTTGGGCAGCACCTGCTAGCATGGGGCCAGAAAATACTGCTGCTGCTCGCTGCTGCAGCCGAGGGAGGCCGGGAAGGAAACAACCAACCTCCCAGCACAAGACTCCGGAGCCTGGATTGCTCATCTCACCAGCCCCGCGCTGCCGAGCTGAGGCTGCCACATCCCCCACGCTGCGATCACCTTCCATACCGGGACACTGCTGGGGAAGAACAAAAAAATACAGTCTTGAGACTCAGGTTGATGACAGAAAACATCTTAAACAGAAAAGCCGGGATACCCACCACCTCCCGCCTCTTCGTGCGCCAATCCGGGCCGCAGAAGCAGGTATCTGGGGTAGCTGCTTTCACCCCATCACCTCCACCCACAGCCAGGGCCCAGCAAGTGGCCAGCGGTGCTCAGACCCTCGCCCTCAGCTCGGCAGTCCCCCCCC